TCAAGTCCTGTGCAAAAACGCATGATCGCACGGGCCCGCCCGGTGCGTTCCAGCCTGGGTTTACATAAAGTTCTGTCATTTTCTCGGTAAATGCTAGCTTTTTGAAAGAATGAAAATGCAAATTTTTTGAAAAAATGCAAATTTCCTGATCACTAAAAAGTGGAAGTATTGCTCGAGCGGTCGTTTGTGAAAAAATCCAAGTATGCAAATGAACCAGTGTTCATTAACATATTTGGATGAGGGCGGTCGCTCGCTGCAAAACGCACTCGTTTCTGATTTTTCGGTAAAGTTGAGTATTTCTCATGCCTACCTGGAGGGGATTCCATCTCCAAGCAGATTTAAGACCGCACTTGAGAGTAGAATATTCCAGCGAATTTTCAGCCTCGCAGTTTATCCAGCAAGCGAAATACCCATTTCGCTACAAATATTTTTGAAGTGCCCTAAGTCAAGGCGCAAGTGCAAATCTGTACTCATTTTAGGTATACTATTTCCTATATGGCAGACAAACATCCTGACAAAATTTCAGCCACTGTTTTCCGGCAAGCTTTCGAGTTAGCATAGTACCAAGTGCAAAATTTGGCGTGGTCGTATGCGCTGCACAAGCGTGCGCTGCGGAATTTGAAATCTTTAGTTCGCACATGTGTAGTGAATATCCCTGCAGAGTTTCAGCTTTGTATCTTGCCTGGTTCGCGAAGTCGCTTCCCGCCAAAGAAATTTGCATATTTTTTTGGGAGTTCGTACGCGGGGTCTAGGCACGTCTGCGGGGAGATCTTAAAACGGGAGAGTGACGCACGGGGTGGCAACATGTCCCCAAAATTTCAGCTACACAGCTTTCTTGGTTGCTGAGATGAAAGTGGGTGACAAAATGCACTCGCTTCCGCGCGCGCACTCACACACACATACATACAGCCTCTGGACAAGATACGTTTTTGCTGGCTCTATCAACGCTATACGCTTCACAGCAAAAACTCATAAAAAGAAAGGAACGGAGTGAGGGAAATCCCCCTTCCACGCTGTTTCCCCTTCCTTTACAAGCAAATTTGCGCACATAAACTATTTCTCTCCTCTTATTTTCCATTTCCTTCTCTTTCCTCTTTTACAATTCTCCTTTTCCCTTCTCCTCTTCTTGTTTTCTTCTTCTTAGGCACAAGAATCGTAAAGAAAAATTAAGGAAGGCATTAGCCAGCATGTGATGATGTAATAAATGATGACTCCGACACACCTTTCTGCATTCCTCAAACTTCTTCCTCCCCATCCTCTTTCATTTTCCCAAACATTTAAAATCTTCAAATAAGACTAATGTTGCCGACGAGATTTTCGCGCAGCTCAGTAAAACTGGCGACCCGGGTTCCATCAACCACCTGCAAAAGAGCGAATAAAATACACTGAGCAAGACGGGTGTAACGTAAGATCTGTAAAGCTAAGTGAGTAGTTGCTCTAAACCAATATTTCGGCAGGAAATGTTTGCGATGTACTTGTTGAAGATAATAACCGAACGAAGGTGGAATAGTTCCAGATCGAGGAAGGAGACCTGATGTGGCAGCATTTCAGTAACATCGAAAGAAGGCAAGCAGAAATCAAGGTTGCACAATTGCAGAAAGCAGGTCTGCACGATTGATTGCATCTATTCCCCGCACAACCGCCGTTCTTGCTTCCAATTTCTACCTCCAAGCAAGGTCCTAGCTCCTTACCAGTCAGTATCATTGTCTTCTCTTATAGCTCCCCGCGGCCTAAGCCGAAATCCCTAGTCCTTCACTCATCCATCTCTTCTTACTCCACCACCCCTAAAGGACGCACCAACGCAGCTCCGCTTCTCAACCCAGTTGGATCCGAATCAAGTTTTTATAGAAACTGCCACCATGAAAGAGTCCGCGAACCAAACGAACACTTCCAGTATTGTCTGCTTTCTCAAATGAGGCATGAGTCTAGATTACTGTTGCAAACTTGAAATTAACGGCAATCGAAAATTACTTCAAAAATTGCGTTCTCTTTATCAGCTGAATTAGTGTTATGGTAATTATCACTTCAAGCGCCAATTGTCACTAAGTGATCACAACAGCTTTGTGCATACACACTCGCGTACTTTTGTCAAGAACAGCGGGCCACAAATAGCGACGGATGATATTGCTTTGTGAAGTGGAACCAGGAAATCGCCGGTGGCTAGCCGCATCGAACTGAGTGCTTTCATATTCGATGCACATTCTGAAATCTTGAATTTTCATCATTGCGATTTTCTGTCGTTTCCTTGAGAAGCCAATAATGGGCACAGAACTTTAGGCAGAGCTCATTCCCTTCTTAGCAGCACTTTAGGGATTTCCCTCTTCTATATAGCTTGCTAGCGCATGACATGATAGCATATATGTGTTCTGCTTGGCAATTGAATAAAATGTGACATCGATGCAAAGGGAAAAGTTTCCGGAAAAACTAGTTAAGAGGAGGGCGTACATAAGTCGAATAAGCGATGGTTCCTAGTGGGAAGTATGCAGCACAGAAGGACTAGCATAGCAGCGTGCGGCATGTGAGAGCTTCCTCGTAACATCACTAACATGAGATAGCCATACTAATTGCCGGGCGATGCCGATATTCCAGTATAACAAGGATTAGTAACGATGAAACAGAATAATTTGACAGAAATTCTTTGCATTCGACGTACGAATACAGTGATTCTCTGGGGAAGTCTAGCATTAATTAGTGACGAGGAGGTGGGAAAGCGAATACTCTTCAGTAAATCAAAATGCAAAGAACTAGTTAAAGACGATTTCGCATGCCTTGGTAATTTGCCATCGATGCCGGCAACGAGATCCCATGCTATAGCAACGCAATCCAAAATGAACTTGATGAAAACAGTGCATGTCCGTAAAGACGGAAAATCGTACAGAGCATTCCAGATCTGAGATGTCACCTCCTGAAGAAAAAAGCGATGCCTAGATGCACTACGTACAGGATGATAATAGCAGCCAGCAAACACGTATATATATATATATGCAGGCACACCTGTACTTACGCGCACATACACGTGCACTTGTATACACATACACGTACATATATACGCACAACAACTACACATACATATACATGCACAAGCGTGCTTAAACATGTTCATCTACATACAGAAGTAAATACTATATTAAGTGGGAAGTACCAAATGAGACAAGTAACTAGTGGAATTACTATATGAAGCATGTTGATGGCTATATTATGCCTAAGAATTTTGACGTACATCTGACTTGCTCATGCTCTTGACAGACTTGAACATTATTTTAGGATTTGAGCTTAATTCGTGCCCGTTTGGCTACTCGGTCGTTTGAACTAAGTTACATTTTGCTACTCAACCCATATATTCTATTCAGATGCCTATAAAAGAAATGGAGAATTTCAGAACCTTGGCGTTGGCCAGTCCATGTTCATGTTTTGCTTTTTGACTCATGTAACGATACATAGCTTTATCGAGATCTTTGCTACCGCCACTGGGCTGAAGCTGATCTCCAAGGATTTCGAAAACCAGCTGACGACGACGCTCCACACTTTCTTCCACTGAGCGATAAGTTAGCTAAAATAGCCTCGACTGCATACGAAGTGAAATGAGCGCATGAAAATTCATCTGTACTCCTTGATATTTCTAAACTGCTCTTTCCTACCTTTTGAAAAAATATTAATATGGCATTGAAATCAAAACCGAATTCCTATAAAAAAGTGGAAAAATGATTAAATTATGATGCACTGAAAAATACGTTTTAAATTCATAAGATATTTTTGCATTATACTACAGCTGCTATTCATGGGATTTATTTTGCCAGTAAAACTGTAGTTTACTGCATAAATTACATGTGAGTAATCGTAATGTCATATAATTGTAATATCATAAATTACATGTGCTTGCATTTCTACGTCACGCGAAGTTAAGCGGGTTTATACATAATGCTGATGACGGAAAGTGTTGGAGTGCCGGCAGCAAGATTGCAGGCAGACGGTGCTGAGTTGCATAAACTTGATGGTTACGTTGGTCTTGACCAGAAAGTGAAAGTACGTCACAACCACCAGCCGAAAATTGGGCGCAGAACTCTTGTTGCCGGTTGCTATAAATTTCAAAGATGCCGATGTCCTCAAAGTACTGGATCGAAAGGATTTTCAATATTACTGTGCTGAAAGCAATGATGTACGTATCCAAAAACGTTGCAGCTGATGAAATTTGAAGAGCGAGCGCTGGCTATGGCAAAGAGAGTGTTCGAGCGAAAGATGCTTGGCGCGTCTGTTCGTGGTCATTATGACTCTCATTAAAATGTACAACGCGGGATATCACAGCGATCAGAAAGAAAGTGCGGGCGTGTTTGCTTGGCTTGTCGGAAACCGGTGAAAATCGCCAGCTAATGAACGCTATTCTCGAAAAAATAAATGACCACTGAGCCTCTCAGTGCAGCAGCTGATCGTCGTGTGAGGCATTTCAGTAACATCATTCACATGAAAAAATAAAAGTGACTATACTGAGGTTTTAGCACATGTGCATATATAAATGCATCGGTTCAAACTCTATTTCATCACAGGTGTTGTTACCTATATTCTATTATTGGCGCTATTTTACAGTCTATTTGAATAAAAAAGATAGGTTTTTTAAGTTAAATTTTTCCGATTTAGAAAAGCCTGAAAAATAATCAGAAATTCATATCTACCACAACTTTCGAATTTCGCAAAAAAAAGCATACGACAATAACTGAAAGAATAGTTTTTTGCTGTAGTTCCGCTGATCCACAAAATTCGGGTAGCTTCGAAAGTGCTTTCATAATTTCGCGTCGGCCATTTTCGAACAAATTTGCGAATTTCTTCATCAGATTTGAGATTTCCACGACTGTTGCATAGCTGTTACTGCTTTTAACATCTGCTTCTAAGATGCTGATTGTATCGCTTCTTTTGGTTAATCTACAAAATTCCGGTTTAAAAAAAAACTGAAAGAAACTATTATTTTTCCTGACTGTCATTTTTTGGTTCTAGATGAACTGATGAATGCCTCTTCTATAGATAGAGAAGAAAGTTGAGCTGGCTGGAGTAAACCCAGGCTTGCGTTAAAGCAAAAATGCAAGTATAACACTAATAACATCAATAATAGACAGAAGGCTTGACATAATTGCATCTTAGAAGCGCTCAGTAATAACACTATCATAAATTAGCTGCACTGATTAGATAGTCCTGACGTTCTTGGTGATAATACTAATGATAATGATAATAAAAATAGTGTAACGGAAAAAGACACAAATATGCCACATTATATTTTACACAACTGACTTTTGAAATATTTCGCAGCATTTGAGGATTGCATATAAACAAGCTGATAGCGAGTTTGACTCCCTAACATACGCCAGTACCAACTTACCATCAAAACGAATGAACAAAGATCGAGGGATTAACTGTTTCAGCGGTGAAATCGAACCTCCAGCCTACTGCACGATAGCAACGCTATTTATGCGTTTTTGCATAATATGCAAATGCGAAAACGCATATTGCGACAACCCCGGTGTGTGTGTGCGTGTGTTTGTGTGTGTGTAGTGTGTGTGTGTCTGTCCGGGTATTTCAACTCGGCACCCAAGCAAGCTCCGGCGCCAAAATTTTGCGAGTGGGTTCCCCGGCCAAGTACCGCCCCAGGACCGCGGTACCAACTCTCGAGCACGTCTAGGCCCCGCGTACTAGCGCCTCAAAGTTTCGGCGGGAAAATCGCTAACTCGAGAACCAGAAAAGCTAGAAAGCTGAAACTTTTGGATTATGTTCCCAGTCCAAGTAGAACTCAAAGATTTCAGAGTCAGCCCCCGGGGGTTCGTGGTTCCCGCGTACGACCATCTGAGGGTTCCTGGCGCGAAAATCGCTAGCTCGGGAACCAAGAAAGCTGGGAGGCTGAAAGTTTCAGGAAATGTTTCCAACTCACCTACAAATTCAATTTATCAAATTCAGCCCTCCGCCGTGCGTGGTTGCCATGTACGGCCCCGTGAAAGTTTTTGGCTGGAAAATGAATAACTCCAGAACCAGGAAAGCTGGGAGGTTGAAATTTTCAGGAAATGGTCCTGACTCATCTACAACTTCAGCTTATCAAATTCAGCCCCCAATGTACGTGCCTGCCACGTACGGCCCCGTGAAATTTTTTGGCGGGAAAATGAAAAACTCCGGAACCAGGGAAGCTGGGGGGCTGAAATTTTCAGGAAATGGTCCTAACTCATCTTCAACTTCAATTTATCAAATTCAGCCCCCCGTTATGCGTGGTGGCTACGCACGGCCCCATGAAATTTTTTAGCTGCAATTTTAATAACTCGGTAACTGAGAAAGCTGGGAACATGCGATTTGAAGGAAATGTTCCCTGCCCTACTAAAGCGTGGATAATTAAGTTCCCGAAATTCGAGGGCCAGTATGCACAAGAGGTTTCTAGCTAGTGGAATTTCGAGTAATCC